GTGTAAAGTGCACAGGGAAAACATTAAAAATGGAAACTATCAACCTTATCTAAGGATGGAAAAGCTGTAATATATTACATTTTTGTATTTGGGTATAGATGCACTTTAATTTGTAAAATTTAAATGTTACTGATTGAGAATGACAAGATTGTAGTTTACATAGCGCAAGCATGGCTTGTGCAGCATATCACTCTCTTACACAGTGTATAGTCTTTATGCAATTAATCAAAGAGATCAATACCTGAAGATGGAGACAAAAGAGCAAACTAGGAGCAAAATGAGAATGGTTAATCTTTTTGCTAATCAGGCCTGCGTTCTGTGTTAATTGCTATAGAAAACATAAAAGGTTATTTTGATGTGATATCTGAGACTTAATAAATACTGCATAAGAGAAGGTCAGCTAATGAAGTCGCTGTCAATTATATTCCTGCTAATGTATTAATCTTTTTACAACTCCTTCAGCCAGGCTGGCATTAATTAAGCTTTCCAGTCAGCAGGGTACATTTTATGTGGTCCCAGTCTAGAAGAAAATAAAAGTATCTAATTGATAGAAAATTATCCAAAATATTCATTTTATTGAGAATTATTTAATTTTTTTGCATTCACTATATGTGGGGAATGTGATTATCATTGAATAATCAAAAAATACAGTAGGAGCTGCCAAATCAGTGGAGTTATTCAAATCGCTAATGAGGGAATTGATGAGCAGCACCTTAGGCTCCTCATGCCTTGTTGGATCTGAATCCACTACATCCCCTGCTTCTCCTGTACCTGCATAAGTCTAAGTTTAGACTTGCAACTAAACTGCCGCACTTCTGAAAAGTGATCAGATGCATTTGACAGGCAGTGATTAGGTGATGTGACACCCCCCTCACTGCCTGTTTTAACCCCATAATTGCAGCACCGTCTGCATTGCATGCCGTTGCAGTTGTCCTGCGCAATGTCCTTTCGTCTCTTTTGATCAGTTGACCATGACGACCATGCTTATGCTTATCAGATGATGTTTTCCCAAAAACTGTATATGCCATCATAACCTTTGATACTGTACCTTGCGACCAGGCAAATAAATTGGCAACTTCAGTTACAGAGGCACCAGCTAAGCGAGCACTAACAATTTGCCCTCTTTAAAGCTCAGTAGCTCTGACATTACTCTGTATTACTAGCAGCACATGCAGTGAATGACGAAAGTGAGGCTTTCTACCTGTTAGCTAGGTGTCTCATTACACAGCGGAAGAAAAAGAATGTTACATCACTTCCGCTTTCCACATGAAACATGTAGTCACTTTTACACCTGCAAATCATGTAGTGTTTAAATTTTTTTGTCTGACTCCTGTATCAGATAATTGCATTTTTAGATTCTCAGTATATCTTATATTATTTGTTCTTTAGTCCTGATGGAGAGGGAATATGGGGGCCTCAAAATGTGTTGGCTTTGTGAGAAGTTGATATAATTTTACCAGGGATTAAATATGTATATGGACAATTAAATGTTGGTGTAACCCTTCAATACTGAACTTTATAAACAACACATAACCTGCCACAGTGAGCCATAAAAACCTGCTCCTGTTTCCCCTGGGGATACTGTTTGATGGGTTGGGACTGAGTCTGAAGAAGGAGCCTATTGAGCATGCTCAAAAGAGATTTTGCTGCAGGACGGCAGGATGTCCCACCTGGATCTACCACACAATGAGTCTTTTTAACTATTTATCTTGTAAGTGCAATTTATCCATTGTTTACTATATAAATTGTCAGTACTGCACTTAGAGGCGCCTTCCTCTCTTTTTTACATTAATGGCAAGCCTTGTCTGCTCCACATATTTCGGGCTTAAACAGGGCTTCATCTCTTTGCTCCTGGTGGACCAAAAGAGTGAAAGAGGAGAGCAGGGCTGGAGAAGTTTGTTTCTTTGTATAACAGACAGGGTTGGAGTAAGTGAACATGTTTCAATGTGTTTTTGTGTGAAAAGTGCTGGTCTTTACACCAGAGGTAACCAACCCATGGCCCACAGGCTGCATGTAGCCCAAGACGGCTATGAATGCGACCCAACAGAAAATCACAAACTTACTTAAAAATTTTTATTTTTTTGTTGCAATTTTTTATAAATATGCGTTTTACACTTAGTGAACACATGTGGTAGAAGAGAAATTGACAGTGTCTCTTTACTGAATTTTTATCTTTCACAAGAAAAATATCTCGCTCTACACAATCACGCCTTATTCACGTCATAATTTTTCAGCAGCATCTATATTTGGGAGCAACTATTTTCATGGCTGAAGCATATAAAAGGGCAAATTTAAACCCAAAATATCTGATGAGCACATTGAGAATTGCTACTACATTCATCAAACCAGATATTTATGCGTTAGTTTATCAAAAACAGTGTCAAATATAGCACTAGTTTGATGTTGGTTTATTTTACTTTTATATTTTAAAATATTACAAAAAAATGAATATTACTCAGATAGGTACATCATTAACTTGTGATCTGCCTGACTTTTTCTGTTCATCAGCTATCCTTATTGTTAGTGTATTTTTATGTGTGGCCCAAGACAATTCCTCTTCTTCCAATGTGATCCAGGAAAGTTAAAAAGGTTGGACACCCCTGCTTTAAATATAAGAATGGATTTTGTTTGAAAGGAGCTGTCCAGCATTTTAGGAGACTCTGTAGTGAACTGCACTCACATAACTACTGTATCTGCTGCAAATGCCTGGTTTAAATATATTTATATTCTAGAAACAAATGCATTTCCTTTGTATTTGAATTGCTGTAATTTCCAAACCTTTGCATTTAAAAAAAAAAAATAAATAAATTTTCAATTTACAAACATAGACCACCAACAATAATAGGTAGTAGTAAACAAGCAGAGTCTAAAACAATATACAGTATATGCAATAAATCTTGTGAGCTGCAATAAATAAATATTTTATTAACCGTAAATCGCCCACACTACTCACACTCCCATATATTATGTATTAATTTCTGCAATATATATAAAATAAAGTGTCTCGCTTCACTTAAAATCAACCCGTGCTTTACACCAATGTGTACGCTACTAAATATGCAAATTGTATATAACTGTAATGCCATTAACACAGATGGAACCAATGAACAAACTCCACTATACAAACCAGTCCATAAATAATCCCATGACAATTTATATACTTCTTCAAATATGGATATAACTTCAGTATAATATTTTTGCTTCTTTCATCACCACTTTGTGCCAAGCAATACTTCTAATATGATGACAACCACGCTCCACCAGATGTGCTCTCACCTGGGTTTTATGACCAAACTGCTAAGTCAGGTCATATGGCACTTACTGTATGTCCCTCATATAGGACTCATATGTGTGTTCTCAGCCGATCAGATGAATTCTCACTCCTCTTCCTGTGATTTCACCTCTCCACCTTCTCCTATCAGTCCTCCTCAGCCATACATGTATAGGGAGAAACCACCAAACATAGTGCTTATCATTTTACAGTGTGTATTCACCTTAAAAATAGCTTCCAATATTTAGAGCACCACACTATTTTGCATAGACAGTAAATCAGAGATGTACATCAATCGGTTTTGTATGCAGCCAGCTTATAATTACTTAATTCTTAATACCGCCCCAATATGCTCAAAACATACTATAATATAAAATACAAAATGTGAAACTCGTATAATTCACAAATAAAATAAATATAATAAACAAAACAAAAATAATAAAATTATTGTTTTTTTATATACTCGTGTCCAAAGATCAAAGTCATTCCCAACTCCAATTCCAATACGAAAATTCTGAAATCTTTGTTGCCGGCCCTCCAATTGGCTCCAGAGGAAAATATGAACCTCAAAAAAAGAAAATATAGTGCATTAACTTTATAAAAATACATAAATAAATGAATACCAATATCTCCAAAATCATATGCACTGTGCAATTTTCAATCAAACGTGATCACATAAGTGAAAAGTGAACACAGTGTAACAACTGTGATATGTGAATCACTCTGTGAATAAATAATACAAGTGACAAAAAATATGTAAGGAGTAGATACCCTTACCAAAAAAACATAATAACACGGCTTATCAACGTAGGGGATAAATTCATATAACTCCAAAAATGCCTTCCCAGCCTGAATAACACTCTTTATGATGTCTTTATGATGTCATCACAGCCTCTAAAAAGCTTCTCATGGTGTCATCATGGCTTTATTAAGAGTACTCCATAGTACTCATAGTACCCATGCTCCACAGATATGTAGATGATATATAGAAAAGGATATAGTGTAATACTATTTGTAATCATCAAAAATATATACTTTAATGTTATGCTTACATCACAAATATCTTAACCACTTGCCTACCAGGCACTTATACCCCCTTATTTACCAGGCCAATTTTCAGCTTTCAGCGCTGCCGCACTTTGATTGACAATTGCGCGGTCATGCAACATTGTACTCATATGAAATTTTGATCATTTTTTTCTCACAAATAGAGCTTTTTTTTGGTGGTATTTAATCGCCACTGGGCACTTTACTTTTTGCGCTATAAATAAAAAAAAAGTGCAAAAAATTTGAAAAAAAAAAAGTTTCTTTGTTTCTGTTATATAATTTTTCAAACAGGTAATTTTTCTCCTTCACTGATGTGCGTTGATGAGGCAGCACTGATGGGCACTGATAGGCGGCACTGATGGGCACTGATAGGCAGCACTAAAGGGCACTGATAGGCAGTACTAATGAGGTGTCACGGATAGGCGGCACTGATAGACAGCACTAATGAGGTGTCACGGATAGGCGGCAATAATATGCAGCACTGATAGGCGGCACTGATAGGTGACACTGATGATGGGTACTGATAGACGGCACTGACTGGCATTACTGCTGGGCACTAACTGGCGGCACTGACTGGCACAACCGCTGGGCACTGACTGGTGGCACTGACTGGCAGCACTGCTGGGCTGCACTGGTGGGTGGCACTGGAGGACAGCACTGGTGGGTGGGCACAGGTGGGTGGCACTGGTGGGCACAGGTGGGTGGGCACAAGTGGGTGGCACTGCTGGGCACAGGTAGGTGGCACTTCTGGGAACAGGTGTGTGACACTGCAGAGTGGCACAGGTGGGTGCACTGCTGGGCACAGGTGGGTGCACTGCTGGGCACAGGTGGGTGATCTGCTGGGCACAGGTGGGCGGAGCTAGTGGGTGCACTGCTGGGCACAGGTGGGCGGAACTTGCGGGTGGCACTGCTGGGCACCGATCATCAGGGCACTGATCATCAGTGCCCTGATGATCGGTGCCGATCTCCGCACTGACAACTGCCGGTTCTCGGCAGTACTTTCCTCACGATCTGACAGCGTGAGGAAAGTGCCGCCGAGAATCGGCACTTGTATTTCCCTCTGATCAGTGTGTCATTGGACACCGCTGATCACGTGGTAAAAGGCCGCTGTGATTGGCCTTTTACCACATCACGTGATCAGCTGTGTCCGTAGGACACAGCGATCATGGAGATCGCCGGGTGCGCGCCCCCTGGGGCGCGCAGGAGAGCGCGTTCTGGGAGGACGTCATATGACGTCCACTCTGAACTGGCCGGCCGCAGTGCAGCCATCATTCGGATATCTGCGGTTGGCAGCTAGTTAAAATACTTTATTCCCATAACTCCAACCTCTATGGTCACTGAGCAGCCTCCAGGAATGTTCAGCATGTAATTTTCCAATGTCCAAAATGGCCGATCCGCCATTTCCGGTTCCTCTCTGTGCGTCCGTTGTCACTTCCCTTGACGTATTTCATCACTTCCAGGGACTTAATCATAAGGGGCATGAGCTTATAATTACCACATAGTCAAAGCCTCAAGCGTTGTGTCGTCAAGCCTCTCCCCCGTATCTGATTCTCCAAATAAACAGTAAGGAATTTCAATGAATCTGAAATAAATACAATAAAAATAATTAATTTCATTTGGATGTTTGAAGCATCTGAAATAACAATTGATTTGAATTGATTTGTGAATAGCTAGTTGTTAAGGAGCGGGGGGCCGCTGCGTCCTTAACAACCATGACCCATCTGCTGTCAGCAAGATTCCCAGCTGATAGCAGAAAACATAAAATGAGGCAACATTAAAAATGAAAAAAATTAAAAACTGCATAGGGGTCCTCCCAATCCTTACCAGACCCTTATCCAAGCAAGCAGCCTGGAAGGCCATGAAAGGTACGGGGTATGAGTGGGCACCCCTCCTCTTCCCCACAACCCTAACCCATTGGTTGTAGGGGTGAAGAAGGGTGACTTATCAGTGTTGTCACTGGGTGAACCCATCGCCCTGATGTCACCTTATTAAAGGGCCTTCCAGATCCAGGTAGGTCACAGCCCACAACCACCTGGCCAGGGTTGTAGGGAAGAGGCAATTGTCCTCATCAACATTGGGACAAGATTCTTTGGGGGGAGCCCCCTTCATTCAAAGCGCCCCCCATGTTGAAGACATGTGGCTTGGTATGGTATGGGGGGCTCACATGTCCCCCCCCTTTCCTGGCATGTTGGTTACATGCTTGGATAAGGGTCTTGTATAGATTTTTGGAGGGATGCTACAACATTTTTTTTGGCATGGAGCTCTCCTTAAAATTTATACCAGACATAACGGCATGGTATCAATTTGGAGAGGACTCCACACATTTTTTTTGGTATGTTATTCATGCTGTTACTTTTTCAATGCATTTTTGTCTACATTCTGGTGTTATGATTAGCCAAAGTCGCAAGCAAATCACATGGAAGCTGCAAGCAAGTCCATCAAAGTCACAAGTAAGTCACCAGAATAACATAACGACACAAATCAATTCGAAACAATAATTATCGAATATACAAAATAAATCCAAATATGAATATAAGGAATGAATTCTGAAAATAAATCATTTTAACATACCAAATATGAAACGTAATGATTTACGTAATGAATGAATCCGGAAAGAAACAAAACATTTCCATTGTGCACATCTCTACCAAAAAGTGTTTAAGTAAATGAAGGAGGCAACATTAAAGTCCTATGCATGCCTGCGCAATGTGTCACCTTGATTTTTTTTTAAGCCTTTTTTGAACGTTTGTCACTCAACAGCTTGGTGCAGTTCATTTACTTGAACAAAAAGTGCCAAAGTAGCTCTTGAACATTTTAGCAGTGAGCCTCATGTGTTTTTGCAATGTGCTTTTGTCTTGTGACAAAACACGCAACTGCTACCTGCTTTTGGGGTTCTATTAAGAAAAAATGGAATCGTAAATGCAATGCACATTTTGGCTTTTTTTTTTCTTTACACATTTCTGGAAATGCCTTAAAGCGAAACTCTAGTTGTTTTTTGTAAAAATTAAAAGTCAGCTCCAAAACCTTAGCTGCTGACTTTTAATAAACAGACGCTTATCTGTCCTCAGATCCGGGGTGTGCTCACCCGAGAGGGGTTCCAGGTACTGTCTTTGGTCCTGGCACCAGCATCTTTCTGTAGCTGTGGGAACCTGGCCACAACAGCTTGCGGCTCAACAGCTGAGTTGTGCACTGTGAGTGGTCCTGTATTCGTCTGGGACCTGTGCTGTGTCCCAGAAGACTGCGGGGATGTAGGGGGAAGGAGCACTACTCTATCCGAGCAGATGTGGGAGAAGGTACCTGTCAAAATAAGGTGCGCACTTCTCCCCCCTCCCAAAAATATTGCCAATTGTGAAAGAGGAGGAAGGAGGAGGCCTTAAAGCGAAACTTCCCCTTTTGGGTGAAGTTCCGCTTTAAGAATAAATAAACCCCCCCCAAAAAGAGTAATCAACTACCAGTATTACCAGTGACCATCAACTGTCAGACCTGCAGATTGCAGCGAGTGCTCGGTGGGTGAAGACGGGTGGGTGGGTGTTGTTTTTTTTTTTTATTTTGGCAAGTCAGCGGTATCATGACACCATGATTGACAATGGATTAAAACAATGGAACCATTGCTTGGGCTTTTTGTTTTATATAAAGGACTTGTCAAAAACTGTTGTTTTGTTTTTTGTTCAATAAAGGATTTTTTCAAAAGTATGGCATGTTTATTTTTTTCACAATATAAACCTTTAGTGAATGGTTAAGGATACCCCTTACTCATTCACAAAGGGGGGGCAGAAATAGGGTGTCCCTCATTTAACCACTTGGCAAACTCGCCATAGACGAATGACTGCTACAGCGGTGTTGTCCAGTCCTGGGAGGGCGTCATATGCTCTCCTCCCAGAACGCGCACTCCCACGTGCCCCAGCGGCATGCACCCAGTGATCTCTGTGTCCTACAGACACAGCTGATCACGTGATGTGGTAAAATGCCAATCACAGCGGCCTTTTTACCATATGATCAGCTGTATCCAATGACACAGCAGATCACTGGGTAAAAACAATTGCCGGTTATCAGCTGCACTTTCCACACGCTGTCACTGTGAGGAAAGTACTGCTGATAACTGGCAATTGTCAGAGAACAGATCAGTGCCCTGATGATCAGTGTCCAGCAGTGCAACCCACCTGTGCTCAGCAGTGCACCCACCTGTGCCCAGCAGTGTCTAGCACCCACACACCTGTGCCCAGCAATGCGATCCATCAGTACCGCCTATCAGTGCCCATCATTGTTTCATATCAGTGCAGCATCAGTGCCACCTATCAGTGCAGCATCATCAGTGCTGCCTATCAGTGCCCATCAATGCTGCCTATCCGTGCCACCTCATCAGTGCTGCCTATCAGTGCAGCCTCATCAATGCACATCAGTGAAGGGGAAAAATTACCTGTTTGCAAAATTTTATACCAGAAACAAAGGAAAACTTTTTTATTCCAAGTTTGCACATTTTTTGTTTATATGCGCAAAAAATAAAACACCCAGTGGCGATTAAATACCACCAAAGAAAGCTCTATTTATGTGAAAAAATGATAAAAATATAATATGGGTACAATGTTGCATGATCGCGCAATTGTAATTCAAAGTGCGACAGCACTGAAAGTTGAAAACTGGCCTGGGCACAAAGGGGGTATAAGTGCCCAGTAGGTAAGTGGTTAAAGGTTTACCCTGATACTAATGCTCCCCTGCCAGCAGACCCCCACAACCACCAGGCCAGGGTTGTGGGGAAGAAGCCTTTGTCCCCATGCCGAGGGCACGTGGCCTGGTAAGCCGCAGGAAGGGAGGGTGCTTTTTTTCCCCCCCATTTCAGCCAGGCCTGTGCTCAGATCAAGGGTCTGGTGGGGGACACTATGCTTTTTTCCCCCCATTTTTGGGGGTGAGGTTCCCCTAAAAGTCCTACCAGGTCTAAGGGGCCAGGTAGGGCTTTTAGGGTGAACCTTATCCACTTTTTAAAAAACATTCTTACTGCGAGGTCCCTCCTAACTTTCATACCAGACCTAAATGGTCTGGTATGAATTATGGGAGGGACCCCATGCTGTTTTGTTTTTGTTTGTCTGTTTATATTTTTTTTTTTTTAGTTTATTTTCATAACAAACAGTCATTCCTGCTGCAGCAGTTACTATACATTGTACATATGTGCAAGTTTGCAGGTAGTTTAAGGGGACCCCCCAGGCATGATATTTAAAGGAATTTCTCATTTTTTTTCACTTTAAGCAATGAAAAATAACAGCCCCTTTAAAAATAGTGCTTCTTGAACATGTTTTTCACTGATTCGTGTCCCTCAGGGGAGTATTCAAGAACCCATACCCCTTTTATGGCCAATAACTTGCATATAAGCCTTCAAAAATGGACACTTTTGAATTTCACGTTCCATAGCCTTGCATTAAGTTCAAAGTTTGTGGTTGAACATTCATTATGTTCAAATGTTCGACAACAAATTGAACAGGGGGCTATTCGGCCCATCGTTATTTGGCATATATAGGACATCCATTAATGTGTTCATCAAGGTACTGTACTATAAAGCCATCTAATTTTTCCTAGGCCTAGCACAATTTCCCATGATTGTTCAGGAATCAGAAAGCTGCACCATTATGATATACGTCCATAATAAATGCATTTCTGCTGAGAGGAAGTAGAAATAAAAAATTCATAAATTTGTCATTGTGTCTGTGCCCAAATCCCAGGCCATTCTATGATGAAAATTGCAAAGTTAAAACGAGCAAAAAAGCTTCTGTGTTGTCAATTATATTGTAATAAAGCAGTATTAAACTCAAAACCAAAAATGTAATATATTGAAGCTTAAAATTCATTAGCTGTGGTGACTACATTCACTTTTTTGTTGTTTAAGCTTTTTCTCTCTGTATTCACCTGTCAATCTGACCAGTAACATATGACCTGGATTAAGGTGCCTACAATCTGGATGGAGGAGCAACAGAGACTCCTTTGGACAGCAGCATTTTTAGTCTGGAGGAAGGGGAGTCATACTGTAGATGTATTAGCAGATTATGATACACTAACAAACTGAAGCTGAACTCTAGCTAAAACTTTCTATGCAGTTACAGCAAACATCTTTGTTCCTGTTGGTATCAAAGGTTTTATATATATATATATATATATATATATATATATATATATATAAATCTAACCATTGTAAGCACCCTCGTCAATGGTAAATGGTTTGTCTAAACTATTTAACTGCTATATTTGCAGGACAGCTTGCTCTGTTGAAAAAAAAAAAAAACAGATTACTGGCCAGATCACCAGGTGAAAATAAAATAAAAAATCCTAAAAGAGAAAACTAATGCAGCCACCACACCTAAGAGTTGGTAAACTGCAATATAAAAAAAGTTTGCTTTGGGGTTTAATACTGCTTTAAGCTTAGTTTGTTTTCACGATTCCTCACATAGTTAGTCTGGCAGAAAAAAGACAAAAGTCTATCCAGTTCAACCATTAAAAGAAAAAAAAAAGTTATAATCTTACATCCCCAGTTGATCCAGAGGAAGGCAAAAATATAATAGCTATAAATGTTAGTATCCAGTTATATTCTGTGTATCTAAGAAAGAGTCCAGGCCTTTTTTTAAAGCAATCCACTGAGCTGCCCAGAACCAACTCTTGAGGGAGTCTATTCAACATTTTCAAAGCTCTCACTGTGAAGAAACCTTTCCATGTTTGGAGATTAAATCTCTTTTCCTCCAGACGTAAAGAGTGCCCCTTGTCCTCTGTGATGATGTCAGGGGAATAGCTCTACACCGAGTTCACTATATGAACCACTGATGTATTTATACATGTTGATCATATCCCCCCTTAATCTCCTCTTCTCAAGAGAGAATAAATTCAGTTCCTCTAATCTTTCCTCATAGCTGAGCTCCTCCATGCCTCTTATCAGTTTGGTTGCCCTTCTCTGTACTTTCTCCAGTTTCCCAATGTCCTTTTTGTGAATTGCCCAAAACTGAACTGCATATTCCAGATGAGGTATTACTAATGATTTGTACAGGGGTAATATGATATCTCTCTCCCTGGAGTCTATACCTCTTTTATTACAAGAGAGGATTTTGCACACTTCAGAAACCGCAGCTTGGCATTGCATGCCATTATTAAGCTTGTGATCTACCAGAACTCCCAGATCCTTCTCCACCATTAACTCCCCCAGTTGTACTCCCCTAGTATGTATGATGCATGCATATTCTTGGTCCCCAAGTGCATCACCTTACATTTATCAACATTAAACCTCATCTGCCACATAGTTGCCCAATTAAACAGTGCATTGCGGTCAGCTTGTAAGTTGGAGACATCCTGTAAGGACGTTATTCCACTGCACAGCTTGGTGTCATCTGCTAAGACTGAAATTGTATTTTTAATCCTATATCGTTTATAAATATATTAAAAAGTATTAAAAATTCCTGTATAGTAGTAATGAGAGAATATACATGGGTTCAATCCAAGGGCAGATCATCCAGAAATCTGCAAACTGTTAATTATAATGCAAACCCAACTGAAGTTAACATTAGGTGAATTCTAAAAATCAATTATTTCCATTTTGAAGGCTAATAGGCCTTAGATTGTCAATAGATTTTCAAGCAAAGGTCATTTGGAGCTGGCCACTGCCGGGAGAACAGTTCCTAATGCATGAAAATGTTTTTAAAATATAATATAAGAAATAGAGAAAAAAAGTGCCACAAACTAAATAAAACAAAAGCTGCACTCCTAACCAAAAAAAAGGTAAAAATGTGAATAAATCAAAGAGTGCGCTAAATATAAGTAAATACAAAAATTATTAGTTTAAAATAATGATGTCCGTGATAAAAAAAATATTATATAAAAGTCCATCCACCATCACAAAGTAATTAAACAGTTCTGAAATCTTGTATAAATCAAACACCGTGCAAAAAAAAATCCACCATCGAATGAAATGGGTACACTCACCAGAGCTCCATGCTGACCAGATTATAAGTCAGCAAAGATAGCGTTTGTTCTGGGAGCGATGATCAGCAGGAGTAATCCAAACTGGGAGCAATATACTGCAAGCAGCCAATTAGCACAATATGGAATAGCCTTAACAGCAGGTAGTCATCACGTCTCCATAAAAGAGGGTGTTAGGGATTTGGGTATGACCAGAGGTGTGTGGACTGACACAGGGAACTAGCAGGCTTCAGGAACACAGGCGTAGTCAGGGCTGGAGAGGTGGAATGGTCAGGCGGGCCGTAAGGTACTGTCAGGCACCGCCTGCCGGGATCTCTAGTGACCCACAGAACAGGATTCCCCAGGGCGCGGAGTCTAAGCCCCAATCTGCCTTTTCCCCAGAGCCCCTGATGGTGGGGATGGACTTGGCGCAGGACTGAGACCAGGTCGCGGCCCCTGAGTGCACCCAACTGTGGTAGAGGGGTCCGCCGAGGGTATGTACCGGGGGAAAGCCTGATGTGAAGGGGCTGGCAGGTTTGGACAGTAGTGACTGGATCTGTGCAGGATGGATGGATTGTCTGGGTAGCGTCAGGCGTAGTCAGGCAGGCCAGGTCAACAACGTGCAGGAAGTGAGGTACCGGAGGAGCAGGCAGAGATTAGTCAGGGTCACAAGCCGGGTTCAGTAACTCACGGGCAGCGCGGTACAGAGGATCAGGCAGAAGGATGGTCAGGCAAGCCAGGGGTTCAACAGGAGATGGTCAGCTGAGGTCAAGATCAAAGCAGGGTCAGCAACTAGGCAGATACACAGGATACCAGGTACAGGGGCTCATGGGAAACATACACCAAGGCACTAACTGCAGGTCTGGCCATTCCTTAAATACACTTCCTGCAATCAGCTTCAGGTGATGGCTGACTGCAGGAGTGAGCTTCTGGTTGCTGAGAGAACCTGCTGGCCAGCCCTGGTACTGCAGCCCACACGGCAGGTGAGTCCCACCACCAGTGCTGAGTCCATTCCTGACACAGGGTGTCTAGCCGACACCAGCAATGACAGCCTCAAGAAAGCAGGGACAAGCCTCGCTCACCGCGATATCACAGCCGACAGTCTACGAGGATCGCCCCGACGTCACATCCAAAAGAAGCCCCGCCCTTCGGCTCACCGCGATATCACAGCCGACAGTCTACGAGGAGCTGACAGTATACGAGCAGCGTCCCGACGTCACATCCAAAAGAAGCCCCGCCCTTTTTTTTGCGGTGAGCCGAAGGGCGGGGCTTCTCTGGATGTGACGTCGGGACACTCCTCGTAGACTGTCGGCTGTGATATCGCGGTGAGCGAGGCTCGTCCCTGCTTTCTTAAGGCTGTAATTGCTGGTGTCGGCTAGACACCCTGTTTTATGGAGACGTGATGACTACCTGCTGTTAAGGCTATTCCATATTGTGCTGACTGGCTGCTTGCAGTATATTGCTCCCAGTTTG